ACCAACCTGCTAACATTAACTATTCTTGATGGAGCTGATGCTTCAATTGTTGGTAAAAGTAATTTTGTAAGATACTTGTTTTGAAAAATTATAAAATAAGCACAATTAGCATATATATTGTGCGAATTTAATACAAATGATAGATTGGATTAGGTTAAAACTTACAAAATGTCCAACATGATTGGTTCCAAATTGATCTTGAATTCCATCGACAGTTAAAGAAAACTTACTTTTATCATGAAAATTTAATACATAAATATTAATTAATTAATTAAAATAATAAAAGTATAAAATATAAATTAACTTACGTTGCCATTATACCAGCATTATTGATCCTAACAAAAAATTTATTATCATTAGTCTAATTAATTAAACTTTGTTTGTATATAGTTTATGGATCAATTTATTTATTACTTACAAAATATGTAATGGTAATTTTCGAGCCAAAAAAGATTCAGCGCATTCTTTAACAGATTTTAAACTTTGTAGATCCAATTGTAAAAACTCTACGCTTTGATTTTTTGTCTCTTGTTTAACCTTTTCAACAGCTGCTTCGCCTCTTTCGATACTACGACTTAGAACAAATACATGTGCATTTTTTCTTGCCAGTTCTCTACACGTAACGTACCCAATACCCGTGTTGCCGCCAGTTACCGCCACAACCTATAAACAATGATTATGAGTCGATCAGTAATTAAAATATCAATTTAATCAATTAATTACTTTGCCAGTTAAATCCGGAATGTCTTCAAATTTAAAATTTTTGGTACTAGTAAAAAACATTGCCAATTTATTTAAAAAACGTTTAAAAAATTTTTTATCAGTTTATATACAAGTAAATATACTGCGCACAATGTGTATTTTTTAATATTAACGGGATAACGTTTTTGCTATATAGCCGTGTGGAAAAAATTCTCATGTAAATAATTTCCAAAAAAAGTAAGATATAGATTTAATAGTGCAAGTCACTTGGTCTCGCAACTTTTTATTGGTCATGTATATCCATTAAATCCTCCAAAAATGGAAGTGAAACCCCCAAAAAATAAAGCCCCAAAACCTCTTACAAAGTTATGTTGATATTAAATATCGTTTTTAATAAAAAATTGTGTAGATCATCGGAAAATAAGCTTCCTTTGATCTGCAGGACATGTCACACGACTATTATGTCTTTAGTTTTTTATTCCGAATGGAACAAAATATTTTCCACACAAGTAATTGATGTGAAAATTTACCGATTGCCTGTATACCCCAATTATCTACGATACCTCGGTTTTATAACCTCTGATTAAATAAATTAAAAAAATGAAATTTATATGAATAAATATGTACATGTTAATAATTGACTATTTAAATACATAACCAACCTGCTAACATTAACTATTCTTGATGAAGCTGATGCTCCAAATCTGTATATACAAATATTTTTAAATCTTGGTAGGGTTTTGAGCCGCAGTCACTCCTGGCAGCCAATTACGAGTGTTGCAATATAGCATTCATATATTATGTTGATTAGATAGGTTAAAATCTACGAAATTTCTGACATGTTTGGTTCCAAATTGATATCAACAGTTAAAGAAAGCTTACTTTTATCTTAATAAATAATAAAATATAAAATATAATTAACTTACGTTGCCATTATACCAGTATTATTGATCCTAGTAAAAAATTAATTAAACATAAAAATATTATAGTTTATAGATCGATATTGCTACTATGTTAGTTATAATTTCTAATAAAATTGCAATATATTATTTTATTAATCTGCCCCCTCAATATTACGATTTAGAACAAATACATGCGTATTTTTTCTTGCCAGCTCTACACGCAACATACCCAATACCCGTGTTCGCCACCAATTACCACCGCAACCTATAAAACAATGATTATGAGTTCGATCAGTAATTAAAAAATCCAATTTGATAATTAGTTACTTTGCCGGTTAAATCCAGAATGTCTCAAATTTTTTGGTATTAGTATATTGTCAATTTATATTTTAAACGAGAAGAAAATAAAAAAACACTACAATTTTTTATCAGTTTATCTATTTTATTTTATTTTTTTTTTGAATAAACTACCATACAGCTACGACATTACTATTATCATTGGCTCGTTTTTGCTTCTGATTTCTAAATTTTTAAAAAAAAAATCCAGTATTTTAATTAAACTATTTGCTATATAGTCGTCATCTATCTTATGACAAAAAGCAGTATCATGCACATAACTTTTTCTATATTATTACAATCATGTGCATAATTAAAAATCCAATTGGCAATTGCGGACAGCTCTATCTTTGAAAAATTATGTTTAATGTTAAACTTTATTTAATTTTATTATACAGAAAATTCACATAAATCTTTCATTCTTTAATTTTAATATCATTTAATTTTTCATTAACTAAATTTTCACTAAATTCCCAACATTTCTTTGCCAATTCTTCATCTCTAGCAAACTTTGATGGTGTTGATACCTCACCGAATGGAATAAAGTATTGAGCACGTAAGTTCTTCTCTTCAATTTCAGGACTTGTTGCACAGTACAATGTAGTCAATGCCCCTTCATCAGGTGTAAGTAATGCGAGACTTACAAGTTTAACAAATGGGACCACCCATTTACCCCAATTATCTATAATACCTCTTGACAATTCAGTATTTATATTTCCTAATAAATAAATAAATAAATAAATAAATATATATATATAGAAATGTCTATTTACTTGTTATGTTATATTAATGATTACCTGGATGAAGACAATTAACATAAACTTTCTTTCCCTCAAGTCTTTTGTTTAATTCAACAGCGAACAATATGTTTGCTAGTTTTGATTGTCCGTAGCGTACTACAGTAGTATGAGCATTTGGATCATTTAATTTGTCAAATTCTATACCATTTTTAGCTGTATACTCATGTCCTATGCTATGTGAAGTATTTTTAATAAAAGAATTTTATATAGTTAAAAACTTTTTTTAAAAATTATTTATTCTAAAAACTAACCTGCTAACAATCACTATTCTGGATGGAGCTGATGATTCAATTGTTGGTAAAAGTAATTTTGTAAGAAGCTATTTTTAATTTGAATGTTTTTAGATAGCATTGACACGCATACACATATATAAAAAATATACATATATTAAAAGCTTACAAAATGTCCAATGTGATTGGTTCCAAATTGATCTTGGATACCATCAACCGTTAAAGAAAATTCGCTATCCAAATAAAAATCAAAAAAATTTCTTTTTTAAAATAAAATAAAACAAATTTTAAATTAACAATTTAATTAAGAACATAATCAACTTACGTTGCCATTATACCAGCATTATTGATCCTAACAAACATTTTCAAATTAATATATATATATATATATATACATGTACACATGTATGTAGGAGTGTATATATAAAAACATTATAATTTATAGATCAATCTACTTACAAAATATGTAAAGGTAACTTTCGAGCCAAAAAAGATTCAGCACACCCTTTAACAGATTTTAAGCTTTGTAAATCTAGTTGTAAAAACTCTATGTGCTGATTTCCTGTTTCTTGTTTAATCTTTTCAACAGCTGTTGTACCTTTTTCAATACTACGACTTAGAATAAATACATGTGCATTTTTTCTTGCCAATTCTCTAGATGTAACATATCCAATACCAGTGTTGCCCCCTGTTACTATGACAACCTATAAAATAATAATAATTAACCAATGATTAAATAATTGGGAATTGATTGTTTGATTATTTGTTGCTTACTTTTCCAGTTAAATCCGGGATTTCTGAAAACCCAAATTTTTTTTTGTTAAACATTTATAGTGAATTAATTATCCAATATATTATTCAATATTAATAATATTAATTAAACAATTATTGGATTATTAAATATTGGTTTTTTTATAATATGGGAATTTCTTGATAAAAAAAATGTACAAGTTCCTTAATACTTTTGAAAATTATTTAATTATTTTTAAGAATACAAAGAATCCAAATTTGTATTCTAATTAAGCCTAAAAGTTCATAATCGTTTGAAAATGGCAATCAACAATACCATCATCACTATTGTGAGATTAAAATTCGCGTCTCACAGTAAATTTTATAATAATACGCCAACAATGTTAATCCAATTTATTTATACTAAATCGTAACGATTTCCGCGAATGTATATTTATGCTCTACTCTCAAAACTATTTTTTATATACTATCATTAAACAATTTCTTATACTAAGAAATACTAATCAATATCTTCTTTAAATTTTACACTATGAATCCTGATCACGTTTCTTTGCTATCAAGTCAGGTACGTATCCAAAAACTACTAAATAAAATTTATTAAATATTACCTCACTAAAAGAAAAGAAAAGAAATAAAAATAGTAAAAACAATAGAGACGAATATAAAATAAGAGGAAATGGTCATGTATGGGATTAGTATGAATTCATTGTTAGAAATAGATTTATTACCATTACGAAATTGTAATATTCGAAGACAACAACAAGGACAAGGACAGTGTTATTTATTATTTATCAATTATTCAATAATTATATAGGCGGGTTTGATCGAAGTAAGTATTAAAGTAGTTAAAATATATTTATCAACGTTTATTATTATCAATTATTCAAATAATTATATAGGCGGGTTTGATCGAAGTAAGTATTAAAGTAGTTAAAATATATTTATCAACGTTTTATTATTATCAATTTATTCAAATAATTATATAGGCGGGTTTGATCGAAGCAAGTGTCAAAGTCTAGATCTATGAAGTTTGCAAAACGAATGTTTATCAATTATTCAATAATTATATAGGCGAGTTTGATGGAAGTAAGTATTAAAGTAGTCGAGATCTATGAAACTTGCAAAACGAATGTTATCAATTATTCAATAATTAATATAGATAATCGTGTAGTTTGCCGTTTTTTTCTGCCGTTTTTTTTTGTCGATCAATATTTATCACATCAGAAATTTGTCACCGAAAATATATTATTCACTTGCTAATTAATAGTATTATTTTGATAATATTTTTGGAGACCTGCCGAATTTATTTATTATTAATAAGAAAAAATATATTTTTGCTGACCTGCCATTTTTTATTAATTGAAAAAATATATTTTTGGAGACCTGCCGAATTTATTTGTTATTAATAAGAAAAAATATATTTTTGCTGACCTGCCATTTTTTATTAATTGAAAAAATATATTTTTGGTGACCTGCCGTTTTTTTATTAATTGAAAAAATATATTTTTGGAGACCTGCCGTTTTTCTTTATTAATATTAATTGAAAAAATATATTTTTGGTGACCTGCCGTTTTCTTTATTATTAAAAAAAATTATTTTTGGAGACCTGTCGTTTTTTTCATTAATTAGAAAAATATATTTTTGGTGACCTGCCGTTTTTTTATTAATTGAAAAAATATATTTTTGGAGACCTGCCGTTTTTTTCATTAATTAGAAAAATATATTTTTGGTGACCTGTCATATTTTATTATTATTAATATATAAAGTAATTCGAAAAAAAAATCGTGTTTTTTTATTATAGGTTTTTTTATCAAGTTTTTTTATCATAGGTTTTATTTATCATAAGTTTTATTTATCATAAATTTTTTGAAATTTTTAGGTAAGTGATATATACAGAAATTTAATTAAATATTAGAGTAAGATATTTAAATCATTAATAGACAGTCATCATATGAACTTTATTATTTAAATTGAATTTAAGACTTTTTCAATAAGCAAATAACGTTTTTACCATTTAAAAAAACGGTTTTTTCTTTAAAAGATATAAATGCAAGATAATTTCCTCTGAACCAAAACAAATGATAAAAACTTACAATAAAAAAAACATGAGAATTAATTATATATTAATATTAATAAAAAACGGCAGGTCACCAAAAATATATTTTTCAATTAAATAAAAAAATGGCAGGTCACCAAAAATATATTTTTCAATTAAATAAAAAAACAGCAGGTTACCAAAAATATATTTTTCAATTTAAATAAAAAAACGGCAGGTCACCAAAAAAATATTTTTCAATTAAATAAAAAAACGGCAGGTCATAATCATGTAGTTAGCATTGATGTTGTGTTAATTAGTGAATAATATTTTTGGTGACAAATTTCGGATGTGATAAATATTGATTGACAAAAAAAAACAGCAGAAAAAAATGGCAAACTACACGATTATTAATATTCTTCTCATATTTCAAATAAAAAAAAGGTTACTTTTTTTTACCAGTTAGTTATTGAGATATTGAATTTTAACAAAAACAAGCTTTGTACATTGGTTATCTAAAAGGTTGAGAAAAGCTAAAATAAATTAATGCATCCCTTCAAAATAGTTCCTATCATTATCTATGCATTTTTGTAGCCTATTTTTCCAATTTTCAAATGATTTCTGATAGTCCTCTTTTGTAATGCCATCTGTGATTGCCTGAATTGCATGTGCAAGATTTTCAATATGATCAAAATGCCTGATTTTTTAGCTCTTTTTTAATTCTAGGAAATAGAAAAAAGTCAAAAGGAGCTAAATCTGAGCTATATGGAGGGTGGGGGAGTGAAATAATTTTTTCCTCTTCTAAATACTCTGTTACAATTTTTGATTTGTGTGGAG